GTAGTGCTACTGCTGTGGCGATTTCTTGCTTCTCAGAAAGATATCTAATGTCCAAATTAGAGGTAAAACTTTGTAGAGCTTTGGCTCTGGTTTCAAACAAGCACTTGGCGAGTTGCTGTGAATTATCAGGATTGAAGTGGGAATATTCTCCAAAAAAAGTTAAGAAGTTACATTTTGTTGCCCTTTCGTCTCTTCCGCCAACGCTTACTCATTTTTTCAATCCACATACAGTAGCGGTCAAAAGTTTGGAAACTTTTTGTTTCCCTTATCATATGATTCCTACTCTTCAATGTTTACTTGTTTCTGTTAATTTTAGTTAACCATTGAGCAATGTGTAATTTCAAAATGAATTCATATGCAAAGAAAGCAGTTTTTCCATGGGGTCCTTTTTTAAACCCTACAATCCGGAATACGAAATTGAAATTGTTTCTTAGTAGTTCAGTCTCTACGGAAGCAATATTATCGAATGTTTCTAGCGTTATTGGAGTCGAGTAAGCATAAGAAGAATGATCATTCACAAAAAAGTATCTTCACAAGAAAGTTGGTCCTCTTCAAATACTTCGAAGGTGGTTGGCACGTCCCGTGCCCCCAACATTCCCAACTAAGAGACAACTTTTTCTGGTTTTTTCCTAATCATATGAAAGTCCAAGTGCACGCCAACATCGGCCGCGACCTGGTGAATATTACGGATGATGTCCCAACAAGAAGCCATTGTTGGGCTTCAAGGCAGGATGGCCCAACTGGCTTCCGCACTCTAACGGCTAACATGAACCGGAGCCAAGAGGTGAAACTTTGTCCTCAGCGACGAATGAGATTTCTATCTTCCTAGAAATAATGTAGTGGACCCTGTGAAGTGTTTTGTCAAATGGGAACCTCATTTTGAGTATGAGATTCCAACAGTCAGAAATAGTGGAAGTATTGTCATGGATGAAGATGTGTCCGACCATTCGGCGATTCCCCAGTTCTAGGTATCCAGCGAAATGTGGGTTGGGCTAAGTACAAGTATAGTCTGTAGAATACAATGCTTCCTTCGATAGTCAGAACTAGCCGGAAAAGATGGGTTTTCTATCGTGGAAATGACCCAATGCAGGCCTACCTCCTCACTGCCGCCTTCCTAACCCAGAAAAAGAAGCTGTTATGAAGCGACCAAGTCAAGATCTGAAGTCTAATTGACATGTTCCAGTTAAGAATCCCACCAAACAATGTGATTTAGTTCACAGTGTATGAGGTCCGACTTAAAAATCCTAAAATTATTTTATAATCAATACCATGTCAATAAAAACGACGCTAACATAGAAATTCAAAGCTACTCATCGAATAACTAATTTATCATGTGGATTTGAGAGCTATTTTGCCGAATTCGCTTTGGAATTCGGAAGTTTCCAAACTTTTGACGCGCCATTTCTTATAAAAATTCGTATTTTTCAAATGCGATTTCAGTTTTCAAAAAATCATGTTACCCATCGTAATCTACACTTGATTCTGAATATAATATGTGAATTCGGGACAATTTCATTGTCTATTGGCTACGCTAGATCAAAAATAAAAAAGTTTCCAAACTTTTGACCGCTACTGTACGTACATGTAGCTCTTGGCACAACCATGTCAAAAGAATTTTTGGTGTCCAGTACAGAAAAAAGTTTAGATGCTTTTCCATGACCATTATACGTTCTTTCATGGGAATCATCACTATGCCCCACATTACATTCTACGCATCGAATACTGTTAAACTTGAATGTGCCATCCAGGTTTTGCATAGCATCATTCAAAATTTACAAGCTGATGCGGCCGCGCTCGCAAAATCACGCCGTTTCACGTGGTCAGAAAAGTCGAGGAGGGAAACATACCTAGTCAGAAGACAGGTGGACCCCCTAAGGGTGCGGACTGACACGCATTTGCATGGAAGGGTATGCTTCCGGGTGATCTGCCATGGCCTACCTTTGTCGCTTTGCCCGGTACACCCTTCCCTCTCTTTTCGTCTCGTGTTTGAATTTCTGACCGTTCAGCGGAAATAACAGTATCTTTGGAGATGGTAGCACCGAGGAGTCACATCAATGCGCAAATCAACGGGCAAGGAAAGGGTTCCGTTTCTTTGGTTCTAGGCCTCTTTTCCCAATTTTTCTTCTTTCGGGTATTACTGACTACCTTTGACTTAATTTCCATTGGGTTGCCTCTCATCGTAAAGTCCACCTTAAGCGGGGGAGTGCGCAGCGGATGCGATGAGGTCAGTGACTGTGACTAGCTATCTAATGTACTTATGGTGAGGTCTTCCCAACCGCTTAGTGCGCCTTCTCACTAATGTCACTCAGACTCAAAAGTATATCGTTAGAAAAGGCGAGGGTTCACGGCGACACGGCGTAACAAACGGCACCGTGAGCAGGGCTACGCTAAACGCCGCTGCGAAGATAACCCAAAAGCCATTTCTCGTGCGTAAACCCTGTGAGCGGCGCAATGACGGAATTCTGTGGCCGCAGAGACTTACGATTAGTCGAACTGTCAATGTATTCAACATTCGGAACGCGGCATGAGCTCATCAAAACACTTCGAGTTCCACCTGCGTCTCCTATATGGAGCAATTGATCAGCTTGTTTTCCAAAGCTATTATACAACATAATCATCCCTATAATGTGACGCGCTTAAAAAATTGGCTACTGTTCGTGCAGAAAGATGGTGGTGCACACAAGTTGTCTTTAACAACTCACGGACCAAGGCTCCCAGTGAGGCTGTGACAAGTCAGTTTTTTGCAGGTGAAGCACGTGATGGCCGAGTTGAGCGTCCTTAAAGCGAATTTCCATCATCCATTCCTTGTTTCACTGCATTTTTCCTTCCAAAACAAGGAGAAGTTGTATTTCGTGCTTGATCATCTCAACGGCGGCGAGGTTCTTTTAACTCGTTCTGCTTTCATATTGTGAAATTTCAATCCATTTTTTTTAGCTCTTTTCACATTTACAAAGGGAAAAGCATTTTTCCGAGTCACGCACTCGATTCTATGCTGCCCAGATCGCATCTGCTATTGGATACTTGCATGAGAATAATGTAATATACAGGTGCCTTACTTCATTATTTGAAAGTGTTGGTCTTATCGTGTTCTGTGACTGCTGCCGAGAAAGCAGAGTATTTTGCGATTCACATTTCACATCGTCTATTTCTAGTGGGAGTGGGAACTTGCAAATAAATGACTAAGCGAGCGGCTAATCGGAGGAACCGGGAAATCGAGTACCCGACAGGAGACCCATCGCGCGGGAGAAGGTGGAGTCGCGGACGAGTCGCAGCGCGTACTGTAGTGATTTCGCGTCAAGTTAAATAGAATGTACCATTGTACGTCCTACATCGCACAGCACGCGCTGCGACTCGTCTGGCCTCTCTCTTCTCGCTGCGCGACGGGCTTCTCGTTGGGCACCCCAGAAAAGTGTGCGGAGATTTGAAGAATGTTGAACATGAAACTGATTTCCTCCTTTCCCAACATGAGAGCTTTATTTACCATCACTATCGACAGTGTACAGAGTTTCATGCATAGATCAGTCCCGTTGTGACCAAGACGTGAGCGGCCAAATGGTATTTGGAGTTGCATTGGAAGAATTGAATTAAAGGGTTCGAATTTAGAGAACGAACAGTTCTTCTAGTTTCACGCGATCCTTATTATCGCGGTATATGGCTCTCAAACTTGCAATTTATGAGGGCTCAGAATAGTGCTGTTTCAATGAACGATTCTTTTTAAGGCGAACCCCGGACAAAACTGGTGTATAAAAGCGCTCAGTAATGATGATTGAGCTGCGGAACGACTGAAAGTGGAAGGAAAGCAAGAGAAATCTTTGGAAACGCTGAAATTAAGGCCTTAACCTTCAGTAAGGTCGGATGTGGTACGATGGCGAGACAGGGCGATCAAAGAAGACAAAACACGCGAGAGAGCACGCTGATCTCTACATCAATCGCGGTAGGTGGGAGCGTTGTAACTTGGGTCGAGGGTTGCAGGCCGTAAGGTTTAGCGCCCTAATCGCACAACTTGTTATGGGGGTACGGATCCTTCGCTTCCTAAGCACCAACTTCCAGCTAGCGAAATGTGAGATGGTTTTCTCATTTCACCTGTCAACAATGATACATTGTAGTTTGTTCCAAAAAGCCTATCAATAGATTTTTATCAAAGCAATTCCGCATACTGGTAGTAACAGCTCAGGTCTCCAGCCTTGTCTATTATATCCGCTAATGAAATTCGTTCTGCAAGCAAATTGCTAGCTTACCATATAGTTCGATTTATTCATTCCTTTTTTATCACTGAAAAAAAAACGTTTACCGTTTATAGGGATCTAAAACCCGAAAACTTGTTACTGGACAGGCATGGCTACTTGGTCCTCACCGATTTTGGGCTGTGCAAGGAGGGCATGACGCCGAATTCAGTTACCAGCACATTCTGCGGCACACCCGAGTTGGTTGCATACGTTGGTTATGTTTGAGATGTTAAATTACATGTACATTGTGCACCAAACATTCCCTTTTTGCATCGTATGCATGCCGTGTAGCCAAAATAGGAATGGAATGGCTTCATTAAATGTTGAAGTATTAGTGGTGTTCACATGCTTCACCACGATTTGACAGACCTTTCGGAAACAGGGACACCTACTTGGGTGTAGAAGGGCTTAGGAAGGCTCTCTTAATCCTCACTTTTATAATAGTTCTCCAAAAGTCCAGGTATTTGGGCACGGTGTTCTTGATTTCTGACCAGCCCGGAAAATAATGGCAGCAAACTGTGGAATACTCTACTATTGGCGTAATTGGTATCTGAAAAATGATAGCATAATTTGTGAGCCCTCATTTGACTCTTTTTGACCTCCATAATAACGGTCTAACGTCAGAACTTTTCTACCTAATACCATTTCGCAGACTGTCAAAGGCTTATGACCTATTTTCGTAGTATTGTAGTATTATGTGGAAAGGGGTTTTTGGCTGAATACCATTACTTTTCCAAGGTATCTTGCACCAGAAATCATCCTCAAAAAGCCATATGATGTTAGCGTTGACTGGTGGTGTCTTGGATCAGTCATGTACGAGATGCTCTATGGTTTGGTGAGTCCTGTGCGGTCCACTCCATTTAGTTACTCAATGTTTGAAATTTCAGCCACCGTTCTACTCTAGGGACCACAACGAGATGTATAATCGTATCGTAAACGAACCAGTCAAAATAAAGAGAAGTATTTCCACAGTATCTACGGATATTATCACTGGGGTGAGACGTACCCTTTTGTACAACCACAAATTATCATTGCTTTACGTGCAAATTAATTAGAAATTGTTCATTTGTCTGCCTGAACGTTTATTTGCTTCACAGGCCTGAGTGATAAGGTGATCAGAACCTGTAGAGAGTTCTCCTGCGGTGTGAGTGTGTGCTGATATGCACGTTAGCATGTTGAGCTTAAACACAAGATTTTGAGCTCAGAAGCACAGGTTCATTCCTATCAGTTGGCAGCCCATATGAGCTGCCATTGTCTCAGGAGCGCATGTTGTTGGCAGCCCATATGGGCGGCCATCGGCGTGAATGTGGTGTCTGCGACGTCAGTCCCTAGTCAAGACTTGCAGTCATTGCCACTCCTCATCGACCGCGAATGATGTGGAGATTAGCGTGCTCTCCTACAGGGTGCTTTCTCGCGCGTTTTGTCGTCTTTGATCGCTTCGTCTCGCCGTTATGTGTAGGAATCGAACTGACCACAGATGATCGTCTGTCATGTCATTGTCTACAAGGCAATCTATCGCACCATCGGAGTGTCTCCAGCAAGGATGCATCGATGCTCTATATGGAACTTATACACTTTTAATTAGTATCACCTGTATCACCTGTCGTCCCGTTGATCATCGATTTGCTCGAGCGGGCGCCAGCAACGTCTCCATTCGTCCCTGTCGCGTGCAGAGTGGTCCAGTGGATCCTCCTCGCTCGAGGGACACGAAGTCCTTCATTCCTTTCGTTCAGAGCTTTCGTGAAGAAGTCTGACCATCGGGCCGGCGGTCGTCCAGGTGTTCGTTTGACGTCCCGAGGGATCCAGTCGGTAACCGCTCTGGTCCAACGGTCATCGCAAAATCGCATGACGTGTCCGGCCCACCTTATCTTCGATTCCTTGGCGAAAACGGCAGCGTCCCTGATCTTCGATCGTTGGCGTAGTTCGAACTCCGGATTCCCCTCTGCACTTGCGTGTATAGGGTTACTCCTAGCATCGTCCTCTCGACAGCGCGTTGGATAACGCTGACCGCATGCTCGTCCTGCCTGCGCAGAGTCCAAGTCTCTGAGGCGTAGGTTAGGGCAGGAAGGACAGCGGAATCGAAGAGGTGGGCACGGAGCCGGATGTTCTTCGTCTTCTTCACTACTCCCTCGATGTTCTTGAATGCTCCCCAAGCCGCTCGTTTCTTCTGCTCGCTCGGCTAGGTTCGTTCATATGTTGCATTCCCGAACTAGGTACACGTAGCTGGAGCATTCGGTGATGTTCGCTTCCGTTGAGCGTGAATGGGGCATCAGGAACCAATCCGTTTCTCATAAACATCGTCTTCGTTAGGTTCAGCTGTAGACCAACCTTACCACAGGCGCAGTCGAAATCAGCCAGCATTCGCTCCGCTTGCTCGATGTTCGGCGTTATAAGAACGATGTCGTCAGCAAAACGAAGGTGGTGTAGTTGCCGGCCGTCGACCTTCACTCCCATGTTTCCCATTCCAGTTGACGCATGACGTTCTCGAGAGCGGCGCTGAAGAGTTTGGGCGAGATGGTGTCGCCCTGTCGAACCCCTCTCTTGACGTCGATGATGACCTCCTTGTAGAATGGTGAGATCCTGGTTGTAAAGTTGCTGTAGAGCTCACGAAGTCTTTGATGTACTGAGTAGGGACGCCCTGGTTGCCCAAGGCTTCGATGACCGCTTCTGTCTCCACAGAGTCGAAGGCCTTCTTCAAGTCGATGAACGTGAGACAAAGCGGCATCTTGTACTCTCGTGAAACTTCAATGAGTCTTGTAACCGTGTGGATATGGTCGATCGTGCTGAACCCTCTTCGGAACCCTGCTTGCTCGCATGGCTGTCCTTCATCTAGTATTCTGCCGATCCTGTTAAGGATGACTCGAGTGAATAGCTTGTAGATTACAGACAGCAGGCAGATTGGGCGATAGTTGCCAATGTCGTCCAGGTCTCCCTTCTTGTACAGCAACACGGTCCTGCTGGTTTTCCACGGAGTGGGTACCTTGCATTCCGACAGGTAGCGCGTGAAGAGTCGAGCAGACGTTGATGAGAACTGGCGTGCCGTCATTTCTTTCAGGCTTTCCGGTTTGACCTGTCGAGGGCCGGGTTGCTGTTACGATTTTCCTTCACCGACATTGATGGGCGTGTCGGGACTTCGGAGCAGGAAGCTCTGAGGGGCGACGTTATCCATCCTGTTGCAGTTGATAAGTGGGCAGATGTAGCATGTGGCTATCGAAGAGATCCGAGTAGAAGTCGTGGATGACTTTCTCCATTGCCCTTCGGGATGCAGTAACTGTTCCATCCGGACGTCGGAGGCAGGTCATCTTGGTCTTGTAGCTGGCATAGCTTCGGTGGGCATTGCGGATGCTCTTCCCAGCCTCTGCTGCTTCAGCTAATACTGCTGCTCTTCACTCCTTGAGATCTTCCTTTATCGCCTCTCTGCATAGCTTCGCAGCTCGGATGCTGAGTTGTGATTGCCTGCCACGCTCGTTGTGGCTCACGCTGGCGTATCAAGTTCGAGAGTTTCCGGAGACAGACGTCCCTTGGTGACTTTCAAACTCTCTGCCTTCTTGCCACAATCGTGAAGATGTTCAACGAGCCGATAGTACTCCTCGTCGATGTTTTCGATGACGGAATCCTCCCATAAGCTGACGAGGGAAGCGAAGTGGTCCCAGTTGATGACTGTCCTGGGACTTCGCTTCCTGAACTTTGCTGCTCTCTCAACACGCATCGAGAAGTGGAATCTTGCGCGGAGGAGACGATGGTCCGATCCCGTGTAGAACTTTGGAACAACAGCGACGTCGGTGCAGGACTTCATGAAGATGATGTTGGTCTATCTCGTTATGGAACTGTCCATCAGGTGACTCCCAAGTCCAACGAAGGTGAGGGGGCTTTTGGAACTGTGAGTTACCATGGATGGTGTTGGTCGACATGATAAACTCCGACAGTCTCTCACCCTGCTCATTCCATTCCATTCCGTGAGTACCGATGTGAAGTTCTTCAGCCGTTCTTCTCGGGCCAATCTTGGCGTTGAAGTCGCCGACGATGACCTTGAAGAAGGTATGATCTTCCTTGTAGAACTTCTCCAATTCCATATAAAATGCTTCGTGTTCCTCCTCGTCGTAGCTCGATGTTGGTGCGTAGGCGACGAAGATTGTCAAAGCAGGAGTTGAACCACATCTTCTCAATCTCAAACGTCCGATTCGGGTCGTAAGGCTTTCGTACGAATCGATGTTTATGGCCAAGTGCGTGTTGACGAGGACACCCACACACCACCGGCGTCTTGGTTGTCGTGATTGTTCCAAGGAACGTTCTCCTTTTCCTCTTCAGTATTCGAACACGGTCGATAGGCGGATGGTGCCTTCTCGTCTCGGTCAGTCCGATGACGTCGTACTTGATCTTCCTGGCCTGCATCATCAGATCTTCGATGTGAGCTTCGGATGCAAGCGTTCGTGCGTTGAAAGTACAGATCGCCATCTTAGTCCTTCTTCGTTTAGGCAGCCTATCCGGGCCCTGAGATTCTAGCAGCCTCTCCCGAGCGGTCCTACCCAACGCTGCCGTATTGGGGGCTCCCTCAGGTTCAGGGGAATGAGGCCCATCCATATTGCTGTTTTCGGCATATTGAAGGCACACGAGTAGCTTGCTCTGTCGTGTGGGCTAGGATAGACCTCCAGGTAGTTAGCCACGCTATCCTGGAGCGGAACAAGGGGCTTTTTTTGGAGGCGGCCCCGAATCGCCTCCCATGTACTTCCCAGTCACTTGAATGCAAGCTTTTGGCTGTGCCGACATGCAGGATACCAACCGCACACACACAGAGCGCACCACACACGCAAGCATGCATGGATGCGCCTGAGTGGAGACAGCTGGTATGAATCAACACAGCACTACAGAAACAGGGAGTCCATCCCCTGAATCCACCTGCGTCTCAGGGCAAGTACATGGTGGCTTTTGGTCCGCGATTTACCCCCTATCCGCCACCTGGGGTCGCGCCACGTAGCCTCGCCACCAACCGGCTCGAGATCTTTCAGTGAGAGAGGACCCTCAGTGAAAGAGATCCGTGGAAAGAGATTTAATTAATAAGATAGACAAAACTCCATTCTTGGCGATATGCAGTGCACGAAAGCTTCCTGCTAATGGTCTGTGCAATTAATGATATACACCCCCTCCAAAGTGTAGAAAAACTGCAGCTCCCAGGATCATTTCTCTCCTCATTTTTTCGGTAAAAAAAAGAGCCGCTCACTGATTCCTAACTAGTGTTCTGTGTCCCATGCAAATGCCCCTATTAAGCATTAAGCGCTTCGAAACAGCGTGTCACGCTCCGAAGGGCTTTTTTGTGAAAAAAGATTATGTTATCTAGCAGAAAACAGGAAGCAAATAACGAAAAGCATTTTCAGTTACTTCAAAAAGACAAGACCAAGCGGCTGGGCTCCAAGAGTGACTTCAAGGAGGTGAAGGAGCATGATTTCTTCAAGCCGGTCGACTGGGAAAAGCTTCTACGACGAGAGATCAAAGCTCCTTTCGTTCCTCGTATCGAAAGCGAAACCGATGTTAGGAACATAGCTGAGGACTTTGTGAAAATAAAAATCAATCCAGGTTGGCAAGTTATATATAAGACTTCAGGGATCAAGGGTTATAAAGAAGTTTAGCTAATTATTTCATTTAGCTTCGCTTGCTCCTCAAAACCTTGCCTCCACTCACCGCGATCATGACTTCATGAACTTCACATACGTCCAGAAAAATGAGATGCCATAAGGATGAAAAGAACTATTATGTGGGTGTGAAAATTGTACAAAATAATAAAACTGATCTTCATCATAAAAAAATCTGTAGTGCTAGTTGAGAGCACGTACGAAAATATTCGAGAAAGACTTGCATGTTCATCACCTGTATCACCTGTCGTCCCGTTGATCATCGATTTGCTCGAGCGGGCGCCAGCAACGTCTCCATTCGTCCCTGTCGCGTGCTAGAGTGGTCCAGTGGATCCTCCTCGCTCGAGGGACACGAAGCTGTTCATTCTTGTTCATATGCTCTAAAAATGCAGCTTGGATGATCTCTCACACGCAAATTGTAATAAAAAGCACCTAGTACGAGGACTTGTTTTGTTTGTTATCTGCTGTTTCAACGCCGCAGCTCGCGTTCACATGAATACTGGGTTACGAGCAGCACCTTCGCCTTAGGTAGGACTCGAACCCGCACCTATCGCTCATTAAGTTAGTATATCGACGGTGACTCGGTAGCGCAAACTGTAACACGCTTGCCCGGTAAAGAAGAGCGCAGATTCGATTCCCGCTTGAGGTTAAGTTCTGATCACAGCCAAGTATTCTTGTAAAGCCTGTAATAATGTTTTTCTAACAAAAAGCGCAGTACATTTGACTTCTACAAGTACACAATTTTCTGACCAATTCATTGTTGAAATTACCGAATATCACAGCAAATAGCTAATTTTATATTAAATTGTCAGAGGTTTACACCCTAGCTTCGACAGAACTCTTCCCATGTCGTCATGTCCTAAATTAATCCACAAATTGATTCAGGTCAGCTAGTTTGCTTATTATTCTGTTAATCTCCTAAGCTCCCAAATGTTACAAAAAATGAAGGATGAGGCTCGGATTGTTGGAAGACCCTTTCCTTCCATTGAATGAACCGTCACTATGCAGTCAGAAAATACGATCGTCGGCCTTGCTCTGTAAACAAGTCCTGACCTGTCGAAAGATTCTAAAGGTTGTTCTGCTTCCACATGCTAGCAGCTCAATTTTAAAACACATGAACGGCGCTCAGTACAGTTGGCGGGTTGGCTCGACCTTCCTCTCCCCTTTGAGAGAGCGCAGAGAAAACGAATAGTGGGAGGCGAGCACACACTTCAGCGCGTCAATGCGTCGCGCATTGTACGTGACTACAGCAGAACATTATAATTCACGCTTTACTTCGGGTGCTCGCTCTGTCTAAACGGCTTAAGTCGTGTTTTTGCCATGTGGGACCGACGCGATTTTGCCACAACTGCCGCCGTATACATATCTCCCGCACGGTCCAACAAGGCGCGTTTTTGGAAGCTCGAATGTACAAGCAACTTGAGAGAGCGGTAAGTAAACAGGTTAGTTAACATGATATTATAAAATCATTAATAAGATTGAAGGTGCTTGTTCGGAGATACAAAATGGTTGGAATGAAGATTTGTTGAAAAGGTTTTGGTTAAGCATTCGAGTGTCATTCACAACTGTACTTCCCTTTTAAGAAGTAGTGTGGGTTTGAGCTAAATTAAAAAGCTCATGAGCATCAGGAAACGTATGCTAAACTGGTGAAAAGAAATGATGAAAGTGGTGCGGCAAGCATGCATCCCGCACGGTCCGACATGGATCGCAATGTATGGGAAACATATTTCCCGCCCTGTCGTCAATGTGTTAACACAATGACGACAGCGCGCGACACATGCGACCCGCATTTCTGCGGAGAAGAGTATCGATTTGCGTCGCAAATTCCAGCTAATTATACAAATTTGTAAGAAAGAAGATAGGTATATGCGCACAACGGCGTGTCGTCAATGCGTCAAGCTCCTGTAAAGCTTGCTCGGGGGTGCTTACGAGGGCTGTCTACAGGTGAGCTTAGCGTGGTTGACTTTGAGTAGTTCAGTGCTTTGGTGAAAAACGATCTAGAAGAGGTAAAGCCAGTAGATAACACACTGAATCTGGGATAATGTACTACACATGACTTGTGACTAAGGGTTGCGCCAGGAAAGGCTTCACTAGATCTCTCGAGGTATCATGGAGTTCTATCATCCTTATTTGCTAACACGCATATACATATTATGTTCATATTGGGTTGTCCCATAATTCCTGTCCGATTTTTGATCAAATTCAAATTTCTTCAAGTCGAATTAGTGTCATTGCGAAATATGTTGGTATGTCAAAGAGTGCATCTAGACCGTTAGCCAGGACGTTTTGGAAGGTCAAACCCGCATCGGAGTAACTGAGTAGAAGTCGAAATAGATCAATGACAATAACGAACGATTATGCTTTATGATCCTCAAATAGACGCTGTTGCAAGGAGGACACTAGAGAAGATCAGCGCTGTGTTTGGCTCAGTCTCTGCTACTGATCGGTCACTGAGCTAGGTTCGGCAATGGCAAAGACAATACGAGCTGTGAAAATCAGCCTCATCCTGGGCCTCCACTCACTTTCGATGAGGACCCCTTGCGCCATGGATTGGAAGTGCACACGGACGCTACTACCAGGGTATTGTAGCAGACACCTGGGCGCAGCCGATGCACCAGCACACGCCATCAGGATGAAGTGGGCTGCAGCAGAATGAAGACTTGATGGAAACCATATGCACCGACCAGCCATGACCGAGAAGCAGGTCTGACCCTCTGGGGAATTTCATTCTGTGACCTCAATAGCAGAGCGTTCCCTAATTGATCACTAGTGGGGATGAGTCATGAGTTCACTACGACAACAACACGCAGCACGCCTGATGGCTACCTCGCAGCCAGGGCTCACCAGCTCAACAAAAGCCCAAACTCCGTGGTCAGAGAATATTGCTTTTGATTTGTTAGATTGAGTGGGCCCGCTTTCACAGTCGTTTTGCTATATGCGGACAAGTATTGCGAATGCCATCGTGGAACAGCTCCCGGGTTGGCCGCAGTAGTGGGAGAGAACCGTCCTAAACGTCCCAAAATCCCCTTTCTCCGAATAGACGCCCGACCTCACATTGCAAAGATAACTCGCTACGTTCTGAGGGAAACTGGCTGGACCACGATACCATGTCCATCGTATAGCCCTGGCATCACTCCATCGGGCTATCCCTTTCACAGTGCCTTGAGCAGCAGCGGCGAGAGAAAAAAGTCACTAAATACAACCACTCCAAAAACGACCTTGCTGAATTCTTCAGCTCATAGCTTCACCCATTCTAGGAGGAAAGCATCCAAAGGTTCCCTGGCGAATGGATGCATATCGGTGATTATGATAATGGTTATATTTTTGATCAATTGGTTTTTGAGAAAGATAAAACTCGATGAGAAGAAAGTGTCGAAATTCGGACAGAAATTATGGGACAACCCAATATGATCGTGATCGTCCAGAAGTTCCATCTCAATAGAGGTGCTGCTTGAGATATTTACGAAATCGAAGGTAAAGCGAACAGCAAGCAATACGTGACATATGTCCCTAAACATAGGTGTGGTTGGAAATTCTTCGGGAACGCCCACTTGCCAGCCGTGGTTGGCTTTTGGCTGCGGAGGCATTCGTGATCATTTTGAGACCACAGTTGGTATTTGAACTTGATCCTTTAGAGCGGTCAGTTTTTCTTCGCTTGGTGTCTACTTGCTAAAATCATCGTTTACTTTTCGCAGATGATGATTTCAGCACATTCGAAGTTTTTTCTTGTGGTTGCCTTGTTATGGATTTGATGCCATTACAGGAACATTTTGAAAATGTGCCTCATACTTTCTGAGAAGATCATTTGCATCTCTTCATACTGCACTCGCCTCTATAACTCTCATCGATCTTTGAGTTGTGGGCGTACTCCTGCACCACCTTACAATTTATTTTACATTTACAGTTTACTCCACTTCAGACTCGAATTATTGTGCCGAAGGATCACAATCGACCTCCTTCCAGCTTTGGAAAGGGTGCCATAGTCGCTCAAAGTGCTTTTGATTATTTCAGTCGTATACCTCATGACAGAGTAGTCCAATGCGAGTCCAATTGCAGTTGGAGCGCATTTACTGCAGCTCTGCCAACTCGTCCAACACTCGTCTCCAATCATCATCGAGGAGCAGAAGGAAAGTCCCTGTTTGAAACCCTCTTCAGCGTTTCTTCGATTTTTTTCTTTACTATCGGTTAACTTTTCACCTACAACTACATTATCAACGGTTTTCATCCCGCGAATTCAATCTGAGATTGTTGCTTTAATGCAGTTGACATGAACACTGTCTCGTTCCTGCAGTGGTGAACTGGGCCTTTCAAGAAGACGATCGGGCCGACAGATAAGTGAACGCCGAAATGCCCAAACGATAAGAGCCAAAGTCGAATCCAAAAAAGCGCTACCTCCGTCATTCTAGCCATCTAACTCGCCTTCCACTAACTGGAGCGGCCACGCAAACGTGTGTTCAAAGCAGTGAATACTATGGCTGGGGAGTTGCGGTTTTGTTGACGTTATTTGAAGCTGCTGGCGGACCAGAGCGGTCATCACGCTAGGGGTGTGGTTGTGATCACCTTCACCCAGTCACACCCAATGACGTCACGAGGAGTCGTGCCGCCCTTCAGCCAACGTATTCACTGTCTTTAAATCTACCAGAACTCCGTTTAGAGGATTGTTCAGCATATTATTTGGAAAGCAGCTTGGAAGTGTTCGAAAAAAGTTTATACGATGCAGGTAATTCGAGCAAGAGGTGATAAAGATCAGAGTGGCTCCCACTTCAATTCACAAATTTAAAAGTTCACAAATGACATAGTAAAAATTTACAAATGACATAAAGCTGTACAAATACAATATGGAAGCGTATCACATTGAGCAATATTTCATGATGAATTTGGCGGAGACTTCACATTTAAACCAGTTGAATCACTAACCTAGCACAAGTCCAAGAATCACATGATATAGGGTATTCAAACGTCTATTGGTTACATATCACATTTTGTAAAATCCCGAAAAAACACGAGAATGTACTTGCAAAAAATGCAGAAAATTGAGCACAAATTGCGACACTCACATAAACACTTTCCTTTACCTACGCATTGTTTACAATAACTTACAAAATTCCATTCTAAACATATTTTCTCGAAACTATTCTTATAACTATAAATATATGCACTATGAAACTTATCCTTCACTAAACGCATGAAAGAAAATTGTGGAAAACTATGTGTTACACTCCAGTGATGTCACTGGGCATGGGCAGGGACGTGCACGTACTCAAGAATGTGTGGCTTCTAAATATCCCATTCCCAAAATCATATCTACTTGTCCTTGGTGTTACAATTTGTGCTCAGCTCATGCAAGCACAGAGAAAAAACCTGAACACAAAATTTCCTACAATACGCACCACAACATCGCAGGACTGCACGACGATTGCCTGAAATTCACCAAAATATCCTATGTAAGATTTTCCTAAATGTATAATAAACATTGGGAAACTTCAGTTATTTATTGCAAAAGACTAAAACTTTCTACAAAAGAAATTGCAAAATGTGTGTTTGCAAAAGTTTTGCAAAAGTTTAGGCCTTTTTGGCGAGCTTTCGGCGCTTAGCGCCTTTGTCGAGCCTGAAATGAAATGAATGAGTAGAAACTTTCAAAATCTGTTAATATGTTAAATTATCACATTCACGCCGATGGCCGCTCATATGGGCTGCCAGTTAATAATCGCTTGCCAGGCGCTAGGAATGGAAAGATAGGTGGGTAAATCTCGTAATCGAGTGTAAAATGCTTTTAAATTCCTTCACGGGGAAAGTGAATAAATGCTCTCTTTTCGTAACCACTATTCGTCGTTCTGATCGAAATCCTACTGTTATATGTTTAGATAATCTTTACGCATTGGACATTGCAGAAATTATTTTGTGACATTCATGTTTTTGTTCATTTACAAAACAAAATCTGCGGTGTGTGGTGAGGCGGCGGCGCCCACAAAATCGCGTCCGTCCCACGCGACCGAAAAGTGGAAAAGGGGCGCTTTCGTGAATGTGCTTATATTACCCCCTCACCTGCTGCCCACTCTCAAAGGTGTAACACCACCCTTATTGGTCTGTGAAGCAGGACTGTCTGCCGTATGTCAAGGAAAAACAACATGGAAGGTCAGCAATGTTGTAAATTCCTCGCTCCCAGTACGACTTGTATTCCGCCCACCCCCGAACTTGAAGCGACTGCTGACATACTCCAGACCTTACGAGGATAAATGTGGGAGGAATGGTTGCATCTACTGTAAGGACGACAAAATATGCCAACTGAAGAGGTACAGTTTATGCAATAGAATGCCAAGGATGTGGGCATAAGTATGTTGGAGAAACAAGAAGACCTCTCCACAAACGACTTGATGAACATCGGAGGGCTCTACAAAATCCGGCCTCATATCCAGGTAACAGCTTCTCCAAACATAGAACCCAACAACATGCCCACGGGGATCCACCCATCCTCAACATCAAGTTACTACACCGTATCATTGAAAACAGTGGTACGAAAAATATCAAGGGCACTGGAAATTTAAAACAAAAAAGACCCATGGAAACACATAGCAGAGACGAGCAACTCATCGCATGACTGCAGTTATCATCACTGTGGAATGAATGCGATATTTTGGGAAATAACGGTCGTAGCACGTCAACGCTATTTAAGGGTAAGTCTAGGGTAGGGAACAGTTCCTGCTTCACAGACCGACAAGGGTGGTAAGTGTTACACTTTTGAAAGTGGACAGCAGGTGGGTCAGTTAATATATTTTAATATATTAACAGACTTTAAGAGAAGCTTCTAATTGCTCATTTTTTACAAGGCTTGACAAAAGCGCTAAGCACCGAAAGCTAGCCAAAAAGGCCTAAAAAATTGAAGGCTTTAGTGGACGTGAAAAAAATCCAAATAACTCTCTCTCCAGAAATTGCTAAATGTTCTTTGATAGTTTATTTAGTGAAAAATTAGCACGTTTATACTTTTTTCCGTGCACATGCGAGTTTTCAACCTTCAAACGATCACTAACTTCCTTCAAACTCATCAATTTGGAAAGCTGAAGCCAGTATGACAAACTTCATGATTTAAATTTCTAAAAAGTACTGAATCTTTTTCAAAAATTTATCGATTCAAAAACTAGTTCCACTGCACTTTTACAGGAGGTTTATGGGACTATTTCTCGAATTCGCGATTTTTCAACCTCAAAACTATCACAACTTCATACTACTAACTCAAGAAGCTGAAAACAGAATTACAAACTTCGAGATTCAAGCTTGCTGAAAAATGCTCAAACTTATCTAAAAGAATGTCGATACAAAAGTTAGCTCTTTTTTCGCAAGGGCATTCTTCAAACCACTTTCTTAAGACCGCGGGTCTTTTTAGGTTTCAGTGGTCGTAACTTTCTTCAAAACCAATTTCATGTGAAACTTTGAGTGCGTTAGAAATCTACGAGCATGCGCTTCCAAATTTTGCTCAAGCGGTAGTTAAAATCCGTTCCTGCAAAAATGTTTCTTTTGTGAAAAATTTCTTACCCTCTTCGAGAAGTCTTTCCCCACAGACTATTGCAATTTTGTGCATTTCAGCTTACTTCAGAAACATGAGATTCCCTCCTAGGTGATTTTTGCTGAGAACTTGAATTTAAAGCACTTCGCAGTAACAATCTCTGTCATGCTATTCTCCGTGCTTTTAATTTTCTTGTGCATTTCGGGATCCAAGTTCGACTTCCTTTCACTCTTGGCATAATGGAAATCTTCTCTGTGTATTTTGATGCCCCTTACGACCTCTCTTCTCCCTCGGCCAGATACAACCCCCCGTTGGTACTTGTGTCGACATACAGTTGGCCCTGCCCGGTATTCTTTCCTCATAAACGGATTCTGAAGACGGAAACCTAGTTTTATGCGGATGTGCCCCTATAGCCACTCGTAATGAACAACATCACAGATTTATAACATAATAGTTATGCCTAGACGTTTTCTAGGATAGTTCTAATATTACGTTGCTTAATAGCGCATTCTGCGACTCATTCGATTAGTTGCCGCGCAGCATTGTCGTGCGTGGACCACGTCGTGTATTTTTGACTGCACTCACGGTCAGAGTGAAATAGAGCTTACCGTCTTCTGCTCAAGGACTACAAAGCAGTGATTCAGCGGCAGCGTTGAGATCCCAACCCCTTGATTCGAGAGCTTTTGTCGCTTTGTCCCTGTTGGACGCAATCTGAGTTCCAACAAGGTGTTCGATTTTTAGTTCCCTCAAGGCGATCGCAATGTCACCTTTACACTTTGCAACCATTTGATCACAACGTGAACGACTGAAACAAGAATTTTTGACATATAATTGGTTAAAAAAACGGTCCAACACAGAAACGTACTCCGCAAACGGTGCATCAGCATACAGAATCTCCATCTGCTCAGCGCGACTGATCGTGTTCTCGCTTTCTGCCTGTGACGAAGACGATCGAGAACCGGCCTAAACCAATTCTCTCGCAATTCCTTCAAAACCTTATTAATAGTACTATCAATCAAACGCACAGCAAGAGGATCGAGCGCTTGTAAAATGTCCTCTCCTTCGCCGATTCTGAATGGAGCGCATGGACCCAAACGCGGTGGCAGTACTCCGCTAGTGTACGGTACATGTCCCGAATCTAACGGCGCCATGGGAGCTGAAATCTATGTATTTGAAAATGTTCGCATTCTGTTGCGTCAGAAATGATTGCTATGAATGAACTGCTTTATTGTTCGATGATCAGTGCAAATGTTTCATTAAGTAGCTAAAACCAAAGAGTTTGGTCTCAATTTGCCTGACCAAATATTATATCGGACAACCGTTGCAACTGCACGATAAAATTTAATATTTCAGAGTTGTAAACCGGCAAATGCGACACATAGAAACTATATCTCAACATTTAAAAAAGAACAAGTGGAAACACCTTAACGGTACTCAAAATAAGCTTGAAATTTAGTTTTAGCAAGTGCAGTAATAGGGCAGTTCAAACGTACCCATACCGAAATAGAACAGCGGCGAAGCCACAGCCGTTGGAGCATTATTTGTGAGAGTGAACAGTGGTAACTGCCTCTGCTGACCTGGTTGCGGTGCAACAAAGTTGAGAGGCACTCTCGACGAGTCACGCTAAAACACTCAAACGTTACTTGGAATCATGATAGCCCCAGTTCATTCTCGAACAGGCGTAGATCACTCGAACATTAAACCCGTACAAAAATAACTTTTTTATAAATTGTGTGTACTCCTAAGTACCACTAAATCTTTTGGTGAAAAGTAAGATCGTGTCTCCCATCCCTTTTGATTCTGTCAACTGCAACGAATACTCGTTACTTATTTATTTGCGATTGAAAGATTTGGGGACCTTCCCACCCCAACCTAGAAGCAATCTATTTTGCTCGGTTTTACACATCGAAACTTAGTCACCAGAATATCAGCTTGTGGGCGCCAAAGATGAATCTCGCTTTCGCTAACAGTATTACTCCTATGAGTGAAATTTTGAGGGAAATAATTTAGACCTCACTGCAACCTATTTCAAAAAGGTTCGCGAGGGACAATGCCCGACATAGGTCGCTAAAATTTTGCACTGCCTCGAACCGCGCTGGTCCGTACGGGCGATTTACGAAAAAAATGCGCATGGTAGCAAGAATTAGAGTTGTGTGCTTTGAATTGCAGCGAGATTTAGGCTTAGACCTTTGTACATACGAGGAATCCCGGAGACAAAAGTTCTCTGCTCTTGAAGTCTTTCGGTCTCTTGGCGATCCAGTACCCAATTTCAAAATTTATTACCGGACTGGAATATTTCTGGCACGACCAAGCATCACGAACGACCTACTCCATTCCCCCCCCCCCCCAAAATTATTCACCTCTAATTATTCTCTATTCACAGTCAAAACAACAACAGAACGAATACCCATAGTTATCTCTTTGCAAGTATTAAAAGAAACTACGGAAGAAGTTTGGGTCATATGTGTAAGGTAAACCAATGAAGTAAACTTCTGATCATAGCGAGGTCAAGCCGTAATTTCGATAGTTATCATGGTTCTCAACCTATGAACATGTATTATAGATGCTCCAATTTCAAAAGATAGAGCCCCTCTACGGAACACGCCGCGGGTTTTTGCATTTGACAAACCTGTGAAACTTCCGATGTGGGTATATTGGCGACATTTGAAAGTTGTAACGAACGAGAAGTAATAGGCAATCGGACTGGCTCTAGAACACCGCTGAGCAGCAACTCAGTAGCACGAGAAGAACTAGACCCACTGGTTGGCAAGACGATTGAATTCTGAAAACTGCATACAATTCCTCAAAAACTACTACATCGTAAACAACAAACTCACTGTTCTTCCGTGTGCCGAACCACTGCTTGATGAATTATTCACAACTCGATCAGTTTCGTTTGTAGCTTTGGCGAAAAACAACTCACTAGGTGGTGGAAGAGCATTCGAAATTTCAGATTCTACTCGAGATCTACGGTTAATGTCCAAAGAAGGATTAGATGAAACCGTTTTGTTAAGTAGGCTCGTTGAGACACCGGTCGAAGATATAGGATTCCCAGAAAAAGGGACTGATGACACATTTGAAGTCGCCTGACATGAGGAAATATAAAAGAAAACTCAAAATGAAGGTATTAGGTAAATTTACCTTTGGTGGTACATTCTCGGGCTTCATTTCAGGAGCATGGTTGTTTTTTATGGCAGAATTAGTAGGTTGATTTGTCCGATTGACCATAGCCGAGTATGTGGACGGCTGTTCATTATTACTCAGCCTCAGTGGAACGTAAGATCCTTGTACGGATTCAGAACGAGACTGAGATGCAGAGTTTGCACCACTACCCGCATTGAGCGTCGCTCGCTTTCCAAGTAACTCAAAAGGAGTAGGCACAAGAGTTGAACTAGGCTGTAAGAGTTGAAATTAGGGAGCTAAGTAAAGATCCTCCAAGTACAAGTGAACAGGTGCGAGTACCTGATTTCCTTTCTGCGCAAGGTTCGTTCCTGGTAAGCCTGAGGAAATGGGTGAGAAGGTGTTGGAGTTCGGCAGAAGCTATAAGGTGTATGGTAACTATGTCACACTGCAACTTAACAGCACCTTGACAAGTATTTGAAAAATGATAAAAACGAGTGAATGAAAAACATATGCATGCTCCATGGAACCCAAAATCGCATTCCGGAAGTTACCCTTGAGAATGATACATTGAATTTGCGAAAAAGACATTTGATGAAGAATTAATTGAGAAATCGTTGAAACGAACTAAAAGATGTTTTGAAAAAAATCGTTTCTCGAACAATAGAGTCGAACAAATGAACATCCCGATGCTTATCATAGCGATGTAAAGACTTGAATTTTGTGGTGTTCGCTGCACCTGCAGTGAAATTTGATTGTTAGACTGTTCAAGTGCTGGACTGGACTCACACTCAAGGAGAAAGCCAAAGAAAACAAAGAAAGCATTATAAAAAGGGCTTGATTTTTCTATTACGCTGTCTCAAAAGTCCACGCGTATTTGGAACTTATTTTTGAGCCTACTCTATTTCAAGCTCCAGCACTATCTAACGTGCCTATGGGAATCGTATTTTTTGTCTACTATGAAATTACTGAGCAATAAGAGCAGATGTCTCGAAAGGAGGCCGATCACCGCCACATGGATATGGTAGGACTTTTCAGCCAAGCATCGATATCTAAAGTCGCGCCAATTTCTACACGTGTGTATTCGGCTGTCTCGAGGAGCATACCTCTTTGAGTTCAAGGAAAGACGCTGGAGTTCCGCTGTGATTTTCCGCCGCTAATCACACTAGACTTGACTGAGTTCGAAGTTGTAATGAAGGAGAAATTTTCGGCGGCTAACTCGAGAACCCTCGGCTAACCGGCTCAACACGTTATACGTGTGAGTGCTGACAGCTATGGTAAGTATACCATGAAAAGCTGAGTTGGAATGAAATGTGCTCCGGTAGCGTAATTGGTAGCGCACGGGTACCCCCCAGGAGGCCCGTCGCGCGGCAAGAAGGCAGAGTCGGCGGACGAGTTGCAGCGCGTGGTGTGCGATGTAGGACGTGCAATGGGACACTCTATTTAACTTGACGCGAAATCCCTATAGTACGCGCGCGACTCGTCCGCTGACTTTGCCTTCTTGCCGCGCGACGGGCCTCCTGGGGGTACCCGGTAGCGCACACTTGCCCGGAAAGCGAGAGGTGCGGGTTCTAGTCCCGCCTGGGGCGAAAGTTTTGTTCACAACCCAGCATTCTTGTGAAACATTCGCAAGGCGAACTGCGGCCAAAAACAGCAGTTAACAAACAAAAACAAGTCAAAAAATGATCACAAACTGCTCAAGGCGCTCACGTACGAGTTTCAAAAAACCCGCGCGAACTTTTGAGACAACCTGATATACAATACCGCCACTAACTTTTGAAATTTCTCCGCTGAGCGACGGATTTGCAGCGTCGCAAAGCGTCGCCCCTTCATAACTCCCCCCAAAGCGGGTCAAATGATTGGTGCTCTACACCATTGGACTCGTCTCTCTGTGGCGAGTCTAACCATGTGGAAAACTACGGTACTCGCCGTAAAAAATCGAAAAAAACACGCGAAAAACGCGAAATTCGCGTTTTTTTTTCGTTTTTTCGTTATAACTCGCTTCAAAATTGAAGATTTTCAAAATCTGAAAAAAGCATTGAACTCAGCTCGTCGAGTTCTATAAGAATATGCTTTTAAACTTTTGGAAAGCCCTACTTCAGATTGCGCCATGCACTCGAGCTTTGGCTCGAGAAAAAATTGTTTGAATGTGGTGCGCATATAATCCCGCTTATGCATCATGATCGTTCTTCAGAGAGATGGGTCTCAGCAGTTGCCCCAGAACGCGCCGCGTATTCAACATCGTCCATTGTATTGTGAATGGATCGATTGCTTTTTTCCAGATTTCATGGTCCCTATTCCATAGCGGCGCGTTAAATGACTTAACACGTACATGACTGCGCTCAACATCTCCTCCTCTCGTGTTCAAATGGAAATCATAGATCAATTCTCAGCAGGACAGTTAGCCTATTTGGTGAAATTTTCCAATGTTTGAGCGAAGGTTTTTCCGAAATCTGAGGAGGTAGCGGGGAAATTTCTTCACTGTTGTAGAGTACGCTTACTTGTGTGTAGGAATAAGATGACATACTTGCTTGCAGATGAGCGCTTCCGCCGTGCTGTGGCTGTGAAACATGCCTCCTCGTCATGCCCTTGTGGAAAGATCAGATTTTTTGCATTTCCAGATGAACTCGCAGACCTGAAATGTGCCCCGTTAGCTTCCCCGTGAAAAATGCTATCGAATGATATGCATTACTTCCCCAGTTGAAACTTTGGTTTTTCACCGTTTTCAGCCTTCCCCTATTGCCGATTGGGCCCATTCCACTATTACTGCCCCAAAATCTCAAAGTTTCATTTTTCGTCGAAACTTTGCCTATTGGGGTAATTCGATGCCCTGATTACGAATATGACATTCATTCTCGTAGTGTGGCCCCAAACATCACTCGCCCCATTTTTTGCGACATGTTCCATGTTTAGAGCAGATGTTATGTAGAAAGCTGTGAAGGCAGCGACGAATTTCCTTTACTGTCGTAGACTACGGTCACTTGTCTGTAGGAATTACATGAAACCTTGGTGGCAGGTGAGCCGTAGTGTGGCCCCAAACATCACACCTCGCCCCATTTTTTGTGACATGTTCCATGTTTAGAGCAGATGTTATGTAGAAAGCTGTGAAGGCAGCGACGAATTTCCTTCACTGTCGTAGACTACGGTCACTTGTCTGTAGGAATTACATAGGAAACCTTGGTGGCAGGTTCCGTAGTTGCGTGATGACTTTCCCACGCACTTTCGACACGCATAGCGGTGTATCGATCGGGCTGCCCGCCAGCTACCGAGAAAGGCCATCGGCTGTCACGTGAGCTCTCACGCACCGCGCACGTGAATAGCACGTGGGTGGCCAGGGCTGAGGAAGGCGATCGGCGATAAGGAAAAGGCCGAAAACGGTGAAAAACGAAAGTTTCAAGTGGGAACTGAGATGTATATCGTTCGATAGCATTTTGCATGGAGAATCGAATGGTGTACACCACAGCTCCGTAGAGCCACCTGGAAGACCAAAAAATCTGGTTTTTATTTCAGGGCATGACGGAGAGCGATGTTTGAGGCCACACCAGGGACCAGAAAGTGAGTTGTACACTGTTCGACAGTATTTTTATGGGGAATGAATGGTGCACATCTCAGTCTTCTATGTTCATCTGGAGAACCAAAAAAAATCTGATCATATCGCAAGGGCATGACGAGGTGTGATGTTTGGGGTCACACTACGGAAGGAAGACTCACCTGCCACCAAGGTTTCCATGTAATTCCTACAGACAAGTGACCGTAGTCTACGACAGTAAAGGAAATTCGTCGCTGCCTTCACAGCTTTCTACATAACATCTGCTCTAAACATGGAACATGTCGCAAAAAATGGGGCGAGGTGTGATGTTTGGGGCCACACTACGAGAATGAATGTCATATTCGTAATCAGGGCATCGAATTACCCCAATAGGCAAAGTTTCGACGAAAAATGAAACTTTGAGATTTTGGGGCAGTAATCGTGGAATAATGATGCCCAATCGGCAATAGGGGAAGGCTGAAAACGGTGAAAAACCAAAGTTTCAACTGGGGGAAGTAATGCATATCATTCGATAGCATTTTTCACGGGGAATCGAATGGGGCACACCACAGGTCCGTAGAGCCACCTGGAAGACCAAAAAATCTGGTTTTTATTTCAGGGCATGACGGAGAGCGATGTTTGAGGCCACACCAGGGACCAGAAAGTGAGTTGTACACTGTTCGACAGTATTTTTATGGGGAATTGAATGGTGCACATCTCAGTCTTCTATGTTCATCTGGAGAACCAAAAAAAATCTGATCATATCGCAAGGGCATGACGAGGTGTGATGTTTGGGGTCACACTACGGAAGGAAGACTCACCTGCCACCAAGGTTTCCATGTAATTCCTACAGACAAGTGACCGTAGTCTACGACAGTAAAGGAAATTCGTCGCTGCCTTCACAGCTTTCTACATAACATCTGCTCTAAACATGGAACATGTCGCAAAAAATGGGGCGAGGTGTGATGTTTGGGGCCACACTACGAGAATGAATGTCATATTCGTAATCAGGGCATCGAATTACCCCAATAGGCAAAGTTTCGACGAAAAATGAAACTTTGAGATTTTGGGGCAGTAATAGTGGAATATGATGCCCAATCGGCAATAGGGGAAGGCTGAAAACGGTGAAAAACCAAAGTTTCAACTGGGGAAGTAATGCATATCATTCGATAATATTTCGTAATCAGGGCAATCGAATACCATACAATAGACAAAGTTTCGACGAAAAATGAAACTTTGAGATGTTGGGGCAGTAATAGTGGAATATGATGCCCAATTGGCAATAGGGAAAGGCTGAAAACGGTGAAAAACCAAAGTTTCAACTGGGAGGAGTAATGCATACCATTCGATAGCTTTTTCCACGGGAAATCCAATGGGGCACATCTCAGGTCTGCGAGTTT